TTTTCTGTCAATCATGCAAACCTGAGGATGAATTTATGTAATTTACCCGTTTTTCATTCTTCTTGTTAATTGCTGATAGAGATTTTTCTCCTGTTTCAGTTGCCAATACGCTCCTCTGGAAAGATAAAAAACAAACATTTACCGTTTTGCTACTTGTAGCTACTCTATATTATTACCTGTTTGCATCTGGATATACCTTCATCACAGCAATGGCAAAGCTTATCTCACTGGCTGCAATGTTCTTGTTCGTTCACAGTGTGCTGCCTAATGAAATGTATGACTTTTTATTTTGTCTCCAACAAGAAGAGTTATGGGAAGCAACAATTTATTTTCTTTTGACATCACAAGTCATAAGCATATTTGGACCATGGTCCTTGGATCTCAAACTTGAATCAATTTCATTACTTGGTTCATTGCATAAACACAAATTCCTAATGAAAAGTTCAGCCTGTTCTCTTGTATTCTAGTTTAGGATGACTATATAAATGCAATAGCTAGCCGCATCTCTTTTAAAATAACAATCATTCGACATATTTAATTTTATGCTGGATTTTACATGCATTATCCATTATGATTACAGATTTGGCATCAAATTTGAGAAGGTACCGCCTTCATATTTTCACTTATCAGAAGGCAAGGCTCACCATCTTGCTTACTCGGTAACTTCTTCATGGAATTCCACAATTGATGTACTAAAATCTCTTTGCAAGGGGAAAGACTGGCCACTGTTTCTTAAGGTATACACTCATTTGCAGCTTATCTTGAGTGGATCCAAAATACCAGTTTTCTCTTATATTGGTTATTTACTTGATATTGGTATGCTCTTCATTTTCACCCATTTGCAACTTAGTCAAAGAGAATGAGAAAATAGATTTTGTTCGAGTTTTAGGCTAAACTGCATGTTCTAACAGGTGGTGGTCATTCTATTGTTTCTCAACCTTCTTGGAGCCGTGTCTCTACAAAGCATATTTAAAATAGGTTTCAATCGAATGCTTCTCTCTATTATTGTCCTTTAACAATTTCAATGCCCTTATTGAAATGATGGATTTGCTCCTTTCTTTTTCCTTAGGTGTTCCGCTACTTTTCTTTGGCTTTGTTGCTTATGAGAAATGGGAGGATGAAATTGATGGACTATCCAGTAAAGCTTCCTCACGGTTTATGAAGCTGAAATCTAGTGCCATTCAGAAATTCTCAAAGCATTAAGTACCTACAACAGCACTAATATCATGTATAATAGATTACATGTGTTGCTTAGACGCTATGAGGGTGAATGTTAGATTTCAAGATTACATATTTGCTGATTAGCCTTTGATGGTGAATTTGTTAAGGTACTCCCACTCGGTATTGTTGAACTAATTGGAGCAAATATCAGTTTTGTTGTACTTTTACTACTGTTTGTATCAATATTCAAGTTCCTGTTATCTCCCTTATATTGTAGTTCACTGCCATTGAGCGCTTGGAGCTTTTCATTGTATTCATTACTTGCTCAGTATCAGTTTCATATACTCCTTGTATTCATTATTTGTTCAGTATCAGTTTCATACGCTCCACATCTTGAGATGAGACCCCAAAAGCCTGAGTCCTTTCTCAGAGCCCTATGAGGTATCCACCTGATGAGCTTGTATGCTTAGCTCAATTATTTCCTTTAGAGAGAGAAATTATCTCTATGAAATAATCTGGATCAAAGCTACCACATGCATTAGTATGGAGAGCAACATGCAAGAAAGAGTGACATCGACTGACCCGGATGGTCGATAGGTTTTAATATAGCTCCCACATTGTTAGGTTCAACCTAGACTCGGTTATAAATAATCATAAGTAAAAAAAAAGTTGGCATCAAAAATTGAAGTTTAGTTTGCTAATGAAAGCATCAGCAGAAACTTTACTTGAATCAAAATTCTCAACCGCAAGGCAAGTACTTGGAAGTTTAGTTTGCACAACATCAAGTATTTCTCAAGATGAACCATCTTTTACAATACTATTTATACAACGCATCATGTGCTTTCAGTTTTATCCATTTCTTTATTTATATGTTTTCATATACGCATATACATATCACATGCAGTAAGCTGGGGCATACGCAGGTTTGTAGAGAAATGGCTTAACAGCATGAGAGTATCCTGATGGACGAGTGTATGTAAATTTGACGCCAGCATGGGCATCTCCTCTGCGGGTGCAGTGCCCGTGGAAGCTGCTGATGGGCCTCGCCAAGCACGAGTCCCAGCGATCACTCTCAGGCATCGTCTCTGCTACTGTGTAAACACCTTTCGAGTTTGTGAAAGCTTGGTAGTTGAGAACCTCGCCAGACTTCGTTATGCAGAGTACGGCAACCTCAGCTCCTGGAATCAAACGGTAAACTTTCAGACCCGGAATGATTGATAATCAGACACACCCCTAGCATGAGTGTAGCCATGCATATTCGTTGAATATTTTATTAGCATCTATTCCCCAGTTAGTTGAGATGTCATGTAGGAATCATGTGATGATAAATTATTTTCTGCCCTCAGTTTAACTTCCAAAAAAAAAAGAAAAAAAAACACACACACACTAAATTGAGGAATAAAGGAGTACATGGCTACCATCATAGCACATGGTATCCGCACTTAACCCAAAATATAAAACGGAAAACCAGAGGCATCATGTTTGACTACAAACCTAAGCTAATATGGGTGCTTTCTGTCCTTATCGATCTTTGATTCTTTCTAAAATGAAGTTTTTATTCTGCTGATAGGCCATAAACTGTACAGGATCTCTTTTCCGACTTCAATATTAGCACAATTCTATGATAGCACTTACAGCTGAGATGTTTTAATTCTTTCCCAAAATATTCATTTACTGTTCTTCCTAATAAAAAGCTAGACCCTTTTCTTAAGTTAAAATAAACCATATGCACCTTATCTAGGAATTTTAGATAGAACACTCAGTTATAATTACTAAGAACAAAGAAATTAACTCTCTTGATCGAGTACAAATCATGAGCCCCAAGGCCAAGAGTAAATTTAAGAAAAAAATCTATAAAAAAGAAAAGCACGAGAAAGAAATGCCTCATGAAACTAGCATCTCAAATTGTCGCTATGTATACCAAACGATCACATTCATCACACCAAAAATTTGGACCTAAAAGTAACCTGGGTATTCAGACATAATAAAATGAAATTAAAAACAGGATTCATTGAACATATTTTTGTCTGGACTAACATAAAATATATAGATAGACTCCATCCAGCCCGAAAAAGCAATACAAGGACAGATCACCTAATAGATGAAACTGAGATGAGGAAAGACATACTCCTAGAAAATTAAGTGTTAGTGTGTTACCAATCTGGAACACCAAGACATGCAGTTTATTTCTTCATGGATTCTCTTCTCATAGTTATATGTCAAACCACTCTTTGCCTTATTTTTCATCCAAAGTACAGCCTGCGACAAGACTTAAAGCATTAATATGGACCGTCCCAAAACAGAAAACCCCTAAAGACTAGTAAAAGCATCCCGAAACAGAAAAACCACTATTCTCCTTATTTTTCAATCCTGCACTAGTGACAGCGGTACCATCGGCCTGATTAGCTCTAGTTCAACAAGGTACTCCCAAGTCCAGTGAGATCCTTAGAAAGTTTAAATCTAAACTTGCAAAAAGGATACCTACAGGTTGATTTTAAAATTAAATGTCCAGCATGCAGCTTATTTGGTCTGCCTACCTGAGAAGATGGCTGAGAAGTTGTCTGACGGAACTCATCAATCGAATTCCACAATGAAATCAACTGTCATTTGCTTCAAGAGTTGAGTTATCACTTATCATTGACTTCAGTTCTGTCTACGTGTCTGATACTTTGAGGCTGCAATTCTATTTTACTAGTGTGCTGTCCGTGCAAAGCACGGCGATATTTTTTTCCACGCTACAGTAATCATGGTTTTAAATGCTGCAGCAAGATTTTTCTGAATTGCTACAGTATCCCATGTTTTTTTAATTATTACAGTATATCCATGCTACAGCATTAATGCTATAGTATTTTCAAAGAACGCTACAGTTCCCACCTCTGTTACAACAATTTTTCTTTTAAAACGCTACAATATCCCGTGTGTTACAGTAATAATGATGTATTAATATTTATTGTAGTATTTATTGTAGCATGAACAGTGAATCTTGGATTCTCCCATTTGTATAGAGGAGTAGATGAATAGCCCGTATCATGATAGAATTGTTTTTTTTTTAATTTAAACCTGGCAATATATATAGTATGCTATTGGAACATTTTCTTTGTGCCTCTCTGGGTTTGGTGGTGCGTCAAAGCTGAACATAATTTTTATAAGAAATCTGCCACATTCTTCTTTCTTTAGAGAACCAGGTCATCCTAATAGAAGCAAAACAGTGAGAGAGAAAATGAATCTGGAGGGGGGAAAAAACCCACCGTCAATACGAAAAAAATCACATCTCCCCACAGGCCTTTCTTTGAGATGAAAAAGAAATTATATGAAATACATTCCAACATTATGGAATATACAAGGATCTTGACAGGATTATGAAGAAATTTACTTTTCAAATTAATAAAGTGGATGAGAACAAAACTTCTGATAAAATCTAGTCCAGACCCATCAGTATTTACAGGACCTCTTACCCATGAGAAGTTCAATGTGGAATGATACCTTCTCAGACTGTTCTTGAACCAATCAGATTGATCTATAAGATGAAAGGGAAGGAGAAAAGATGAGAACAGTCTTTCGCGCATGAACTTGAATAATATATATTGCAGAATTAAATTGAAGAAATCTCCTTTCTGTGTCGTTTATTTAGTCTCCCAATGCTTTTCTCCCAAACATAAGCCCCATCATTATGGATCACATTAGATATGTGAATTCGATTGTGAAATAAAATTTGTATCCCTTAGCTGAAGGAACAAGGGCATATAAGTAGGAAGAGGATTTGGTTCCTAGCTCGAGTTAGGTATGAAAATGAATGGGGAATACGATACCGGTTTCACAAGAGATTTGGATTTTAAATAGGAGAATTACAAGATCAAGTAAGAGGAGCAGGGGCTTTGATTGTACTCAAGAGTGAGCATGAATAGAGAGGAAGAAGATGGGAGTAAAAGCTCTATCAAAGTTACTTCATGTAACCTCAACCAAACATTGCCTTTGTTGATCACTATGCCTTCCAGAATACTATATTTCCAACATGTGAATATTCCATGTGAATGACGTCCCTTGTCTTCATTATGTCGACTAAATAGTATCTAATTTGATATGTCAAAAGATTGTCAGAATGACCAAAACTCATATTAGGCATAAATTTTGGGATTTTGATGATTTCTACCTCTTATTATCCACAATCTCAACTCTAATGTTTTGAACCTCATATTTTCTTCTGCAATCTTTCTTCAGTCTGAATCCAACCATCAACAATCATGCTCTGATTTACTAGACTTTCAGCATACCTTTCGCCAGTGATATAGCTCTCCTCATAGATCAAAGAAAGTGTATGCTTGTTGTAAAGTTGAATATGACTATCATTGTTAATGGACAAATTAAAATCAGGTTTCCATTGAAATCTAGTATTATTGTGCAACTAGTTTCCTTTCGTTGACAACAGCAACTACTCCAGATTGTTTTTGTCTTGGATATTTATTGTAGAATTCATTCAGCCTATTGAGGATTTTCTTGGAGTAGTTGATGATTTTGTTGAAGTTGTCAAATTGACCAAGATTGATGCATCAATGTGTAGTTGTAGCCATCTGCTGGGGTAAATCAACGATATGACATCCAGTAACATCAAGAAAGAAAACAAACAAACGCAAAATTTTAGTAAGATCAAGCTCTTGCAAAAGATAGCTAGGAATTACTTTATATATACTGTTAATTTGACTAAAACTGGGAAAAATACAAGTTTATACTCAAATTAAAAAGGAAGTCCTGGGCCCCTGGCTAATGACATGCCAAATATCAATGGAATTCGAGATCGCCACAGATTTCAAATCAACAAAAATCTCCTATTAAATCCATTCTAAACTCAAATCCTTAACAATTTATTGATCCACGTCTTGATTTTCTTTGCCAGGATTTATTGATCCACGTCTTGATTTTCTTTGCCAGGATTTTTCTTGAACAACGGTTTCTGCTAGTTTCATCTTAGAAACAGATAGAGAAGGTGATAAACTAAGCCACTAGTTAGTATAGATTAATTTTTTCCAAGATCATGAAAGTATTTTCTACCAATTACTATAATTCCCCACTATTATCTCATACAAGTTCAAGGAACTAGTAAATACTAATGATTCAGACATCATGGGGTGAACTCCAAGACAATTATCCTTCGGCCAACAGGAGGTTTTTGGAAGAAAAGAAATTATTAGAACCAATATTTTTCTCTACTTTATAGTAATTTTCATTTATATATGTTCCTAAAATCAACTCCAATAGCATGTCACTGGTAACCCTCAAACCCAAAATAGAATTTGAATTACTGATTGATCTTATAAAATCGAAATTCTTCAGCTAAAGAGCTTGTAAAATTTAAAAGATAAAAATAATCATTTACTGCACTCTATAATCTTAAAGGAACATTATGCATACGAAAATCAAGTCAATGGGGAAAAAATGAATCATAAAATGAAATGTTTCAATTTGGAGTCTTGGAGTCCCATGATTAGCTCATCTGACAAAAGAACAAACTTTTTATGAAGAACCAATTTGCTGCTTACCCAACATTGAATAACACGAAGATCATTTTCCTTTCATTTTATGCAGATTAACTTTAAAGAAGACGAGAAAAAAGATTAAGAATTAATACTGAAACTATCCCAAAGAAAAAATATGACTAGATTCAGATTTGTAGAGAACTTGATGAATGCAACTCATACACTACTTGAAAATTATAGAAATTTTACTCAAAAGGATTTGAGAGAAATATGCCTATTTCATTTTTTGAAACTTCACTCAAAAGGATATGAGAGAAATATGCCTATTTCATTTTTTGTGGTTATAGGTATCCAATTAACTTTATTTGTTGAATTGAAATTTACTTTAGACCATGTAAATATCTATTCCAACATTATGACAGAGGTTGCATTGAGTATAAGACCTAAAATGCAAGGGTTCAAATTCCAACACATCAGGGAAGTTGAGGTTAACAGAATCAAACATTTCAATTCAACCAAGAAGCATGAACTGGATTCACAATTTCCTGATTCCTTGCTTCGCAAACTCCAAAAAGACCTAACAGCTTAGGGTACACCTAACCAAACAGATCAAACATAAGCTTAACGAAATTTAAGAATGTAGAAGTATAGATATTAGGAGCGTGGGACGCTGTAGCGAACCACTACCTGGTTCAATCTTCCTGGATTAATAGTGGAACACGACCCGATTCACCAACTCCAACGAACCGCTTTAGAATTCAGACAAGTTAAAAAAATTTAAACAAATAACTCTTTTCAAAAGAATAAACAAAAAAAATGTGAGAAACTAAGCAAATATAGTATGTATATCTTAATTGCAGAATGATTCTCAATGTTCTTTTACCATTACTTATATCAACTAGATTATTTCTTAAATTTGACTATTGCCAAACCTTTGTTTCCTACATTTAAGAACCAAACCTAAAACGTATCACATTCCCTAGCATACTGTATAAGCCTACCCACCTCGTACCCGAATTCCTAATGAGCGGCGTGCCCCGCTTCCGTTCCCATCCCATGAACCAGAGTGACTGGGTTCCAAGCAAATAGTAAAATTACACAAAGGATCATCTGATCATCTCTATCAAAACGCCTATATTATTAAGCAAATACTGGTAGCAGCCTCTGTACCAGCAACCTTGGCACGATCAATTGAACAGCCTCTACAATGTTTTAATCAAGTTAAAATATATACAAAGTAACACAGGTTGATATCTCTAGTTTACAGTCTCCAAAGACCAAAATGAAGAGCAATTGCACAGGTTATTCGCTCCCAAATAGGCAAAACCCCCAATGTTTCGCCATCATCGTCTTCTGATGTAAAATCATTGCTTACAACCCTAACGCCAAATTATCAACTCAAATAAGCCCAACTCTAGAACACAAACTCCTACCATAAACAATATATATCTTAATAAAACCCGATGAACAAAGCAGTGGGATTCATAACAAATCATAACACTAATCAAGTAACAAACTAAAACCCATCAGGGTTTCAAATATCCAACAAGACTTCCACTGAATTACCCAACATTCAATAACAACCATAATCAATCCATCGCATGATATCAACAACCAATCAAGTAACATATATGTTGGCTAAGCTAAAAACATCAAACTAGTGGAACAATCAAGACTAAAACAAAAACCCATCAATCTTTTCAAGTAATAAAAGTCACCCAACTGATAATTTTGCGAGATTTTTTTATGTTCCTTAATCAGGACAGAAACAAATAAAACCAATATCAGAGAGAGGGATTGACCTTGTAAAGGGTGATCTTCAGGGCCAATGGATGAATCCCCGCACACATCGCAGACCACTCTCCCATGGATCTCTCCGGTCCACGCCTCCGCAGAGCACGTGAGCGCCAGCAGCAGCACGAGCGCGCGGATCATGCTCCTCCCCTGAAAAAATCCCATCTTTTCGGATCAAGGCTGTGCCTCCCTCCCCTTCCTTTTTCTGATGTCGGTTCTATCTCTGCTATGGATTGATTTCAAGGATTCAATCATGTTAATAGGACTAGAAAATTTTTACCTTTGGGTGAGTTGGGCAAGTGTCCCTTTTTGGTCTGTATAATTAATAATTAATCAGTTTATTTCTGGCTCATATACTAAAATTGGGTCTTAATTGCACTTAAATACCCTATAGTTTCAACTAATTGCACCTGTACACCCCTCACTTGTTTTTGTCGGCGCTTAAAAAACAGAGCTTTTAGAGCAAGTGCATCAAGCTCCCAGTTGGGAGTCTTAGTCAGCAAGCTCTCAAGAGCTCTCAACCTTATTGGAATAAAAAATTAAAAAAGTAAGCCTTGGGAGGCACTCTTTCTTTTATGGAGCTCCAACAAGCTCCTAGTTAGAAGCTCCAACAATATCAAAAAAACTCATATTCTATTTTAATATTTTACCCATTACTTTTAATTATATTTAAACCTCTTGTATTTTATTTCTAACCGTTGGATACGGCCTTCGAGGGAGCGCACACGGTCTTCGAGGCAACCTACGGTCTTCGAGGGAGCGCACACGGTCTTCGAGGTAACCCGCGGCTTTTGAGGGAACGCACACGGTCTTCGAGGTAACCCGCGGTCTTCGATGTTGGGCACGAATTTCGAGGTATCGCAAACTTTGACCGTCAACCGACTGATTCCTATAAAATTCGACGGCTTCTCTCCTCAACCCATCATCTCCCAGAATAAAATGTCTAGCTCATCTAGCTCTAGCGATGATGAAATGATGAAGACGTTCTTTCTTATGGGAGCTGTTGTCGTTGAGGAAGAAGAACAAGAGAAATGTTCAACTTCAGTTCAACACAAACGACGTATCGTGCTCCATCGAAACCGACTGGAAGGCCATAATCGGTTGTTCCAATATTATTTTGCTGACGCACCAACCTATCCTCTTTAAAAGATTACTGCAGCTATGCGGATGCTCGCATATGTCTTCGCTTTATATGCCCTCGCTTGGTTATTCCAGCACATATATACTCTAAAATTTTCAAAGTTTGCACTTAGATATCTTAAAATTCTCAAAACATATACTTAGATATCTTAAGTTTTTAAAACTTACAACTAAGCACCTCAGTTAAAACTTGCATGTAAGTGCAGCCAAAACAAGTTAGAATAAATAGTGTATTTTTTTAAGAATTTAGAGTGTATACGCGTTGCTGTGCTAAAAACAAGTGAACGTGTATAAAAGATCAAGCTTTTATAAACCTTAAGGTATATATGTTTTGCCAATGTAAGTGAGAATATACTGTTGGATTTAATCTAATAAATCTATTTGTGGACACATATGATTAAACAATGTGTATTGCTATCTTTCAGGATAACCCACTAAAGTGATCAATTAAGTTGGGTTAATTTGGTATTTAAATAAGTCATGGGGTTATATGTGCAGATACCAGGTTGTAATTGTAATTTATTGAGGGGCTAAATTACAAAAGTACAACATCTATAAATAAGGGGTTATGGTCCCTAACCTAGGGTTACATTCTCTAATTCTCTACACCCCCATCTAGCTAGAGAAATTCGGTTTTAGAGAGAACCCTAAGGTTAGAAGATCCAACACCCAAAATCAAGATCAAGCAATGGATTCAGGTATAAGCTTCCGCTCTTTTAGATCCTTGTTAATCTCTTTGAATTAATCATGGCTATATGGTTTTAGATCTCAAGTTTTGATGTAGATCTAGAAAGTGGTATCAGAGCCACCTTGATTAATTCTTAGGGATTTAAGTTTTATTGGGTTTTTTGATCTTAAATCTCTGGTTAAAGATTCAATTTTTGGGTTCGGATGAACAGTAAATTTTTTGGGTTCGGATGAACAGCAAATTTTTTTTGTTCGGATGAACAGTAATGAAAATTTTTTCGGATGAACAGTAAAGTATTTTTCGGATGAACAGTAACTGAAAAATCGCCGGTGAACAGTGACTTTTGGGAATTTTTTGGATTTTTCTTTGATTTTTCCTTCAATTTTTTCCAATTCTGGATCTGTTTTGAAAATAAAAATCAAAGGTTTTTGGGTTTGTCGGCGGCGGTTTCAATTTGAAACCCTAAGGGTTCATGCGTGAAATCGTGGCGAACATTAAGGAGATGGTTACCTCAAACGAACCTCGCGTTTGTTCAATTTTAACCGAGCTTCGCGCTCAACGAACCTCGCGTTCGTTCTAAGGTGAACCTCGCGTTCAACTCAGGTGAGCGTCAAGCTCAATTTTTTAACGAACCTCGCGTTCGTTCTTCAGACGAACCTCGCGTTCGTACTTCAGACGAACCTCGCGTTCGTACTTCAGACGAACCTCGCGTTCGTACTTCAGACGAACCTCGCGTTCGTACTTCAGACGAACCTCGCGTTCGTACTTCAGACGAACCTCGCGTTCGTACTTCAGACGAACCTCGCGTTCGTGCTTCAGTCGAGCCTCGCGTTCGAACTTCAGACGAACCTCGCGTTCGTACTTCAGACGAACCTCGCGTTCGTACTTCAGACGAACCTCGCGTTCGTACTTCAGTTGAACCTCGCGTTCATTTTTTTTAACGAACCTCGCGTTCGTTCCCAAGTTGAACCTCGCGTTCTTTTATCAAACGAACCTCGCGTTCGTTCATTTTCAGACGAACCTCGCGTTCGTGCTTAAGTGAGTCTCGTACTCAATACAGTCGAACCTCGCGTTCGAAGTTAAGGGAACTTCGTGTTCATTATGGTTAAGCCTCGGCTTTTCATGGGTCCACTTTGGTATACTTAATTTATTCAATTAAGTTATGGGCCCTAATTAAGCTGTGAGACCCCAATTAAGTTTTTGGAAATTCAGTTGATTTAAATTAAAACTTTTTAATTTAAATCTAATTTGGTTTTTAATCAATTATTTAATTCAAATATTATGACACTAAGGTATTAAGGTTGTCTCTCACTCCAATTGATTAATTGAAACAAGAAGTTGCCAAAGTAACCTCTCTTGTGTAGATTGTTCATGAGGAATGTGAGATGTTTGTGTGTATGCTTTCGTGTAAATATTTAATCGGCCCAAAGGAAGGTTAATATTTATTTAGACTGTATACACATCTGCGATGATAAGCGTGTGACAATTATAAGGTTTACATGTGAATAATGAATCGATCCAAAGATAGTTTCATTATTTGACATGAGTTATTGTCAATGTTTGATCATTGCAACAAGGTATCACTTACAAGTTAATATTACTGTCCAAAGACTTGATATTAATGTTGTGCCGGTATCTTGGATGGGGATTGTCATTATTTGAATTTTATTGATTATGGTTATTGATGTGAGCATTTTTGTTTTATTTCAGCTAATGCATCTGCTGCAACAATTTCTGCTAACATCAACTCAATTCCCATGCTAAATGGGACAAACTTCAAGGTTTGGAAAGAGAACATATTAATTGTTCTTGGCTGCATGGATCTTGACTATGCATTAAGAACTGAACAACCCCAACCTCTCAATGCGGATAGCACTCCTGATGCAAAGAAGGAGCATGAGAAGTGGGAGCGTTCAAATCGCATGAGTCTTATGATCATTAAGCGCGGCGTTCCGGAAGCCTTCAGGGGCATAGAATCCGAAGGGATTACTAAGGCTAAAGATTTCCTTGCCGAAATTGAGAAGCGTTTTGCGAAAAACGATAAGGTAGAAACAAGCACGCTTTTAGCTCGCTTGATTTCAATGAAGTATAAGGGCAAAGGAAATATCAGGGAGTACATTATGGAAATGTCTCATATTGCTTCAAAGCTTAAGGCACTTAAACTCGATCTTTGTGACGAGTTATTAGTGCATCTGGTTTTGTTGTCTCTTCCTGCACAGTTTAACCAATTTAAGGTCAGTTATAACTGTCAAAAGGAGAAATGGACTCTAAATGAGCTCATTTCATACTGTGTGCAAGAAGAAGACAGGTTGAAGCAAGATAAGACAGAAAGTGCTCATTTGGCCTATGCCTCTAAGGATAAGGGCAAGAAAAGGAAGAATGATAAGGAAGCTGCTAAGGGTCCAGTTGAGAAGAAACAACATAAGGATAATCAGGGTTGTTTCTTCTGTAAGAAGCCTGGACATGTAAAGAAGGACTGTACAAAATATCACGCCTGGCGTGATAATAAGGGTACGTTCCTTGCTTTGGTCTGTTCTGAGGTTAATTTAGCTTCAGTACCTAGAAACACTTGGTGGTTAGACTCTGGTGCTACTACTCACATAAGTGTTTCTATGCAGGGTTGCCTGAGCTACCGAAAGCCAAGTGATGTTGAAAGACACATCTTTGTGGGCGACGGACAATCGGTAGATGTGGAAGCAATTGGGCACTTTAGGTTGTTGTTAGGAACTGGTTATTATTTGGATTTAAAAGATACTTTTGTAGTACCGTCTTTTAGACGGAATTTGGTTTCTGTTTCTGTATTGGACAAATCAGGTTATTCTTGTTCATTTGGAAACAGTCAATTCAGTTTATCTTTTAATTCAAATGTTGTGGGAACCGGTTACTTGAGTATTTATGACAACCTATATTTGCTTGATACAATTGCTTCTTACAATGAATCCTTGCATGTGGAATCACGTGGTACTAAGCGTAAATTAAATAAGGAAAATTCGGCGACATTATGGCATAAGCGCTTAGGTCATATCTCAAAAGGTAGAGTTGAGCGTCTTGTGTCTGATGGCATTTTGGATTCCCTTGATTTTTCGGACTTCGACGTATGTGTTGAATGTATCAAGGGAAAACAGACCAAAGTGAAGAGATTAGGTGCCAACAGATCTTCGGATGTCTTAGAATTGATACATACGGATATTTGTGGGCCATTCCCTACGGAATCCTGGAATGGTCAACAATATTTTATATCATTCATAGACGATTACTCACGTTATGGGCACCTATATCTTATTCATGAAAAATCTGAGTCTCTGGACATGTTCAAAGCCTATAAAGCTGAAGTTGAGAATCAACTCAACAGAAGAATTAAAACCGTCAGATCTGATCGTGGTGGTGAGTACTACGGTAGATATGATGGTTCAGGTGAAC